TTCATTCATAATAGCAAGACATTGGAAATAGATTTGGTGTCCATCAACAGCAGAATGGGTAAACAAATTAATATATTCCACCATGGAATACAACTCAGCAACAAATAAGAATTAATCACTAATAATCACAACTACAGGAATAAATCTCCAAAACATTATCTCAAGTGAAAACAGCCAAACACAAAGAGTACGCGCTCTATGATGCTGCTTACGTAAAGTTCTAGAACAATCTAAACTATTCTGTGGAGAAAATATATTGAACACTGTTACCGGGGGAAGGTGGGGGGGGGGTGGATATTGACTGCATGGAAGAGTGAGAGAGTTTTCTGTGCTGGTGACAGTACTCTGTCTCTCCATAGAGGTTTGCATTACACAGGTACACACGTTTGTCGAAACTTTCCAAGTGGACACTCCAAACTTGTGCATATCATTCAAAATAAAACTAGATGTACATAAATATTCAGCCCTCCTTAGTGATATACACGCTGAGATGTTTAAGAATCCAGTATACTGATGTCAACTTACTTTGAAATACGTAAAAGTTTACAATAAGTAGGCTGGAGAGATGGCTATACATGTGATAAACCAAATTTAGAAAAATAATCTAGGCAGTGAGTGTTCACTGCATAATTCTTTCCACTTTTTTAAGTCTGGAAATTTTACAATAAAACTTTAGGAATATGAGCAAAAATTACATTAACAAAATAAAGGAAAAAATCATATAATCATGTCAATAGGTGTATAAAGATAAAACTGGATGCTAGTTCATGTTTCAGACCCTTAGCAAACTAGGAATAGAAGGCACTTTATTAATGAAAGAGTACCTTACGCACACACACACACACGCACGCACGCACCACAGCAGCTAACATCAAACTCAGTGGTGAAATATTGAACACTTTCTTCCCGAGGTCAGGAACAGACAAGAATGTCTGCTCTTACCACTTCCATAAAAAATTGTTCTGAGTCCTCTCCAGAACAATAAGACCAAGTTCAAATTTAAATAAAGAAATACATACATAAATGGAAAGTTGGAAAGTAGCAAAATTGTCATTGTTCACATATATGTTTATGTACATAAAAATCTAAGATAGTCTACAAAATATTAGGAGTAAATAAATTTGCAAAGCCACTTGCTACAAGGCTAATATATAAAATAAATTAATAATGTTTCCATATATAACCAACAAAGTATCGATAATTGGAGAATAGAGTTTTTAAAATACCAATAAAATCAAAATATATGGCGTATGTGCAAAACCTATACATTTAGAATAACAAAAAATGCTGAGACACATTTAAAAAGACCAAACTAAGTGGAACAATATAACAAGTTCAAGGATTGAAAAACTAAAAAAAAAAAAAAGTTAAGAGGCTAATTTTCCCTAAGTTTCCCTATAGACTTAATGGGATTTCAATCAAAATAACCCGACAAGTTTTTGTAGAAACTGACCAACTGATTTGTTAATTTATGTGGAAATGCAGTGTCTAGAAAGCCAAGACCATCTTAAAGCAGCGAACAGAGTTGGAGTCTTCAACTACCTGATTTGGAGACTCACCATGAATCTACAGTAGTTAACGGTGTCGTGTTGGCATAAAGGTGGGAAAACAGTCCAAAGGAACGTTGGAGAGAGTGTAGAAACAGAGCTGTCCATGATACTCCCTTATTGTCCCATCAATCGTGTAGGCTCTGCAGTGATGTCACCTGTCTCCTCCCTGATCTTGGTAATCTGTGTCTGCTCCCTTTTTCTTCCAATCAGTCTTGGCCTTTGCTCTTCCCACCAGCGATCCCCATGGGCTGATGGTCTATGGACCTAGATATTGAACACTGAATTGATAAAAGTTAGCCATCTCTTTTCTGGGCACCCAAAGATTCCAGAGAGAAACTGAGGGTCTGTCTCAACTGGTAAGCGCTTCTCAGTGGGCTAGGATGTGCTAATTTTCAGGTGTCTTTGAGGAGTTAATCAGTTAGATACATGTCCAAGGACTCACTATAAAGATATGAGCTGGAGGTAGACACTTATGAGTCATCCGTGAGGCTGGGGGCATAAAGGACAGAGGAGAAGACTGGGGCCACAGTGTACACCTACCTCCTGTGGCTGCGCACGCTGCCCAGCCCCACAGCAGGCAGAGGGAGCCGTGGTCTCCGGGGCAGTGGGAGGACCTGGTGAGCACCGCCTGCATCTGTGACACACACCTCTGAAAGCTGCAGCAGGCCATGCTCACAGCGGCATGCCAGGACCAATGCCCACTTGCCATCAGGAACTCCTGGCTTGGACCCAGGGAGGGCCCAAGTCTCCCACGGCCTGGGGCTTATACATTTGGGCCCCTTTTAAGAAAAAGCGCCAGAAATTATGAATAGAATGTTGGAGACTGGCCTCAGCAGGGGCTGTGAAGGGGCCTGAGCGGGGCTCCTGGGCAGGGGTCCCAGAGCCTGCACCCGGTGAGCTTCACGGTAGCCCCACCTGCAGTCAGAGCAGGCGGCTCCCCGCCCCCTTGCACAGACACACCCAGGCTCACAAACGCACTGAGGGAGGGGAAGTCACACCCAGTCCCCTTCGGGGTCAGAGTGAGGGAGGGCTGAGCAGGTGTCTCTGTGCCGGGATGAGAAGCAAAGTCACTCTCCAGCATTTGCGGATGTTGGCGCCCTTTGTGGAGCCCCGGGGAAAACACAGGGGAGGCTCTAGCATCTTTCGGGGACTCTGACCCATTGAGACCAACATGTCCACTCCCCTGCTTTGTTCTCCTGTCGGGGTCCAATGCACATTGTGTAACTGCCCCTCTGTTTTGGTAAAACTTCAATAGGAAGAGGGAAATGTGACAGAAAGACACGGCCCTGGAGCTGTGGGAAGGGCCGACTTGTCCTCCTGAAGATGGCAGCACTTCACCTGGGGCGGAAGGGAGGCCCCTGCAGCGCCCGGCTGCGCCCTAGCGGGTGTGCCTGAGGGCAGGTGGGGAAGGGGCTTCAGCGGGCAGGAGGACGGAGGACCTCTGGGAGCCACGGTTACCACCCCGGTCACCTTCAGGCTCTGTGATGCTGACGCAGCTGGTTCCGGGCGAATGGGGGAGCAGATCCACACCCCAGTCTGGATGGATCTCCAAGTTAGGATGCAGGCTTATCCCACAGAGCAAAACCACCTGTCAGCTGTGTTCTGAGAGAAGTTTCCAGGGAGTCGAGGACGGCAAGGACCCTGAGCGCACGGAAAGAGAGCCTCCTTCCAGAGCCAGGAAGTGGTTCAGCCACAGAGGCTGCAAGGGCTGCGCGGACCCGGGTTTGCTGCCGCAGCCCCTGTGCAGTTACAGCAAGTGAGCGGCTGAGTTTCCAGCCAACGCTGTGGTCGAGACCCCAGCCTTCCAGAGCCAGGCTTTGCTCCACAAAGTTCCAGACTTTCTAAGCGACAGTCTCAAAGCAGTGGGCCTGTGACAATGGGGGCGAGGCGACACTGGCGATTTCAACCACGTTTGAGGGCTGCCCTCGCCGCCCCACGCCCCGAGTGTGACAGCGAAGGTGCCATGAGCCACACTGCGGGCCTGGGGCAGAAAACTCGCTACAACGCAACAAGGTGCTGGGATCGAGGGTCCGCGAACCACAGGCCCATGACCCCCACCTGGAGAGCCCTGAAGACGTGCGGGTCCCCGGGCCCCTCCAGCCCCGGAATCTGGACCCCTGAAACCTTCCTGGGCGGGGCGCCTCGGGTTGTTTGCGTCTGATTAAACGCTCCTACTGGAAACTCCACCTCCCAGAGTGTGGCTGGAGAGATGGAGCAGCAGAGACGGCTGGTGGATTATTGCTAAAACGCTGCTTCACCTCCAAACTGGGCAGGAGAACGTCATTGCCGCCCGGCCACCCGGGAGAGCTGCTGCGAGCACACAGGCCTTCCAGCCAGCGCTGCTCCCCGCCCGTGAGCGCCCTCCCGGACGCACATATTGACGGGTTAGAGTGCTTTGGGTCCAGGAGGAAAGAAGGGCCAGCAGGGGATGCTTTCCACCCTGCATACGGAGCGTGGGGTCAGGCAGAGACCTGGAAGTCAGGCCGGGGTGGGCCCGCCCGCCCCGGCGAGGACAGCATGACCAGCGGGACTGCCGCCTGAGGACCCTCGTGGGTGCCCAAACCCCGCCCAGCCCTCTGGGGTGCCCAAGACCTGCTCCCCCCAGACCCTCTCCAGGCAGAGCAGCTCCGAGCCCGCCACCGGCAGCTTCACCTCAGACCTGGGGTCTCAGAGGCAGCGTCACCGTCCCGGGCAGCATCTCCCCACAACCCTGAGTGCAGTGAAGGCGGCTCCCATGCCCTCAGTGGTCTGCTTCCCCGGGGACAGAGCCCATGGCCCTGCCGCAGCCTGGGGATGCCACACCGCTCTCTTCGTGCAGACCCCGCTCCCTCAAGGAGGTCAGGCCCTCTGTCCTCACCCCACACAGCTCGCCGGTCCCTGGAGAGTAAGGAACAGCTTCCCAAGGCCGGGCCATGCCCACCCCAGCCCCTGCTCAGGGGCCACTCCAGGCCTGACCGCTCGCCACCTCCCGTGCCGCCACGGCAAGCTTTCCCGGTCAGCGACAGTGCTGTCCCCGACCCTCCGGTCCATGCCACCCCCTGCTCCTGCCTCCACTAGGTGACTCTGGAAGTCAGGTGCGCTCAGGGGTGCACTGCAGGGCCACCTCCTCAGCAGCAGCACGTGGGCAGCACGAACACGGGGTGACACGGCAGGGGGCCCCTTGCGTCTCAACAGCCACGACTTCTTCTGATACAGAAAACAGTCTACCTCATTGTAGATTAGGTACAATTATAACTAGAAGTGAATGCTCGCTTCTAGTTATGCACTGAGACGTGCACATAACGCACACCACACACACACACACACACACACACGTGCACACGCACAGGCACGCAGAGGCTGGAAAGTCTGCCTGTTGGCTACAGCTTCCTGTTTACTGCAGTTCACATTTCTGCCTATTGGACGTTCTCTTAGTCTCAGTCATTTGTATGCAGTGCTCGGGGAAAACAGAATGCCCAGGATGTGAAGTGTGGTGGCCAAGAGCCTGCTTTGACAAAGCTTGTCACAGAGGCCCCGGAAGCATCTAGAGTTCAGAGGAGCCGTTGCTAATTAAGTCTGACAGTTTCCCCTTCCTGGGGAGTGCCCAGCGTGTCCCCGCAGAAACGCCGCGTGCAAAATCTCCATCCTCAGGGAGCCGCAGCATACGGTTTCCTTCTGCTCCTCAGAGATTCGTAAAATCAACTGAAAACACCTTTGCAAATCGTAAAGAAAAAAGGCAAGCAGCGGAGCAAAACGTCAGACAGAGTGGTTATGTCCCAAGGCGCTTCCTTATGATTTTGCGAGGCTCAGTGTGAAAGGGGCGCTGCCCAGTGCCCCGGGAAGCTTATTCACTGGGCTCACACCTGGATTTCAGCAGGCCTGGCGGCTTACCTGCAGAGGTGAGCTCTGTCCTTTTACCTGCAGCTGTCAACAGGAGGATGTTCCTCTGACGTGTCCTGCTTTACCCCTCAGTCTTTGTCAGATTTTAAGGGATTATGGTAAATGGGTTAGAGGAGTCCTGGGTGCTACTGTGATCTTCCCCAGCTGTTCACACAGACCACGATGCCCTCAGGGCAAAAGTCAGACACTGTTAGAGACGCCCAGTGGTTTTGTTTCGTTTTCCTGGACACCAATGAAAGTTAATTTTTAATATCTCTGACATCTGATACCAGGAAGAGAGAACAACATTTTTGTTTAATCTGACACTGTGAGAAAAAGTAAATTTTCACAGGGTATCACTAGAGACCCAATAAACTGGGGCATACGTGTAAGTCAAGACTCAGACAAGTGGGAAAATCTGAAACAAATCTTAAAATCACATGCAGGAAAATCATGGCCAAGATTATTACTTTTACAGTAAGAAAGAGGAGACCATTATTAAAAATTATAAATAATAATAAAAACTCCTAGGAAATACATACATACCCGTTTCTTTCCTTCTACATAGCTTCATGAGTATTTAGATTTTCTATTTCTCCTTGAGTCAGTTTTGGTAATTTGTGCCTTGCAATAAATGTGTCCGTTTCATCTAAGTCGTTGAATTTGTTGTCATAATTTTTCATAATGTCTCTTTATTGTCAATTGAATCTATGTAAGCGCTGTAGTGACGGCCCCTCTTTTGTTTCTGAAACTGGTGAATGTGTTTCCCATTTTTTTTCTTGATCAATTTATCTAGGACTTTATCATTTTATTGACCTTTTCCAGGAACCAATTTTTATTTCCATCGACTTTCTCTGTTTTCTATATTATTATTTCCTCCCTTCTACTTACTTTTCAATTTCTTTTGCTTGATTCTTCAGATGGAAGCTTAGATCATTGCTTTCAAATCTTTCTTTTTTCTAATGTAAGTATTTAATGTTAAAATCTCCCTCTAAGCACTGCTTTGCTGCAACCCATGAATTTTGATGTGTTGCCTTCTCATTATCACTCAATTCGAAAGATTTTCTAATTTTCCTTGTGATTTTTTCATTGAAACTATGGTTTAAAATATGTCATTTAACTTTTAAGCATTTGAGGATTTCCCAGTGTCTACTTGTTGATTTCTAATTTATTTTGTGGTCAGAGGATATATGTTGTATAATTTCAATCCATTTAAATGTACCAAAACCTGTTTCACAGCCCAGCATATAATCTACTTTGGTGAATGTGCATGTGGATGTGGGAAGAATGGATTTTACTGTTAGAAGGCGTCATGCTCTAAAGAGGTCGGTTAGACCTACTTCGTCACTAATTTGTTCCAGCCTTCTGTATACTTACTGATTCTCAGCTTACGATCCGTCAGTTACTGAGAGAATAGGGCTGAATCTTCTACTAATTGTATACTTGTCTATTCTCCTCTTGTTTCTGTAAGTTCACGTTTATGTATTTTGAGACTCATATGTTAGGTATATATGTATTTATGATTGTCATGTCTTTTTATTGAAATGTCCCTTGTGGTCCCAATATGGCTACTCCAGCTTGCTTATAAATGTATTTAAATAATATGATATTTTCTATCCTTTTAATTTTATGTTCAAAAATTGTTTCTTATAGGCAGCATTATTTTATCCAGTCTGACAATATCTGCATTGTGTTTAGTTTGGTTAATTTATTAATTTAATTAGTTACTCATATAATTGGATTAAGTCCGACTTCTTGATATGAGTTTTATATTTTTCCCATCTGTTGTTTGTTGCTTCTTTTTTCTGTGATCTTGTGGATTTGGTATTTTTTAAGGTTCCATTTCATGTCTTCTGTTGACTTAGTGGTTACTCTTTATTTTATTTGTATAGTGTTTGCTCTATAGTTCCAATATGCTCTTATCCTGGTTTACCTTTATAAAACATTGTATCACTGTATACATATAAAAGATTATAACAATATACTTTCATCTCTCCCTTCCTGCCTTTTATTTTAATGTTGGTATACAGATTATTTCCACATATGCTACATATTACACCATGTATTTTTATTATTTTTGCTTTAAAGTGCCAATAATTGTTTTAATAAAATGAAAAAAATTCATTACTCGTATATTACTATCCCTCAAGGGTCTTAATTCCTTCAGATGTGGGTTTCAATGTGTTACCATTTTTCTCTACCTTGAGGAAACAATATAATGATTTTTTATTACCAATCCTGCTAGTGATAAAAGCCGATCTCAGCTGTAATTGGCTTTATTTTCCCTCATTTCTATAAGGAGATTTTAACTAGATAGAGAATTCTAGAATGATTTTTTTTTAATCAGCACTTCAAAGTTGGTGTTCCATTGTCTCCTGCCCTTCAGTGTTTCCAATGAGAAGTCGGCCATCATTTCTGTCTTTGTCACTTTGCGTGTAATATGTCCCCCTCTCTTAGGCTACTTTTAAGAAGTTTTTCTCTTTATAATTCATTGTCAGCAATTTGATTAAAATGTGCCCTGGTATGATTTTCTTTTTTCTCTGAGTTTCTTTGAGTGCTGTAGGTTTATATTTTCCACCAAGTTTGGAGAAATTTCAATCATTTAATCAAATGGTTTTCTGCCCTTCCTCTTTTTCTTATGTTTCCATTACACTTATGTTAGGCCTCTTGATATTACGCCAGAAGTCAATGAAGAGCTCCTCTTTTTTCCAGCCAATTTTTTTTCTTTTATTGCTTCAGTTTGGACAATTTTTATAGGCCAGTCTTCAAGTTCACTTTTCATTTTAGTTTCTAGTCTACTAGAAATCACTACCATCCAGTGATTTAAGATATTGTGCTTTTCAGCTCCAGAATATTAATGTGGATTTTTTCTTATGGTTTCTATTCCCCTGTTTATGATGTGCAGTTTTCTTTACTTGGAAATGGTTTAAAGAGCTGTTTTCAAATTCCTTTTTGTTATTTTCATCTTCCCTGTCATTTCTGGGTTTTCTTCTCCTAGGAATGAGTCAAATTACCCTGACTCTTTGCGCGTCTAATCATTTTGATTGCATGCTGGCCATCGTGATTACTGTGTCTCTGAGTGGCTGGACCTCGTTGTCTTCCTTTAGTGAGTGTTGAGGATCTTCCTCCCAAAAGGAGGCAAATTGTCCATGGATCAAGTTGGTCCTCTGAAGGGTGATTTCAGGCGAAGCTGGATACAGGTTAGCCTGCACCCTGAATCTAGTTTAGCCCTACTACTAAGGCGAGCCTTTTCTGGGATCTTTATGGAAAGTCCCAAGCATTCAACCAGGTCTTTCTACTCTGTCCGGTCAGACCTTGAATGTGTGCCAGCCCTGTGTTACCACTGACGGTTCTCAAAGTTGTCCATTGGCCAGAAATGGCAAGAATGATGGAATTAGCAGACAACACTTTTAAAAAGTTCTTATGAATATGTCCAAGCACTCAGAGAAGAATGAACACAATGAGTCTGTCTCTTTTGAAGATTTTCTCAGTCTTTGTTGTTTTGCAGTTTTATTAAGATATATCTGAGAATGAATTCCCTCATGCTTGAATGTTGCTTGAGATTAACTGAGATTCTGAAATGTCTAGATCAGTGTTTCTAATCAATCCTGGGAAATCCCCACCCATTATCTCTCCACGTGCTTTCTCTTAGCCCTTCTTGAGAAACTTTGATTAAACAAATCTGTTATTTCCTAAACATCCTGTTAAACTAATCTATTATTCTATAGTTTCCTTTTTTAATCTTTCTGGTTCGGGTCTCTTTGGGGCCTATTTTACAATTCACTGGTTCTCTTTTCAGCTGTATTAACTTTCTATTAAACTCATCTGTTGAGGTTTCTTCAGTTTCTTAACATTTTGTTTCTGGAAGTTCTATTTAATTCATTTACAAATTAGCTGTGTCATTTTTTTAAATTTCCTGATCCCTGCAAGTATTTCCAAGCTTGTTTTTAATTTGTTATTTTATAATCCATGTTCAATGTTTCCAATTTCTGAATTCTTTATGGGCATTTTCTATAAAGCTTTGTCGTACAGAGATGCGTGTTTCCAGATTAGTCAGAGTACAATGAGAGTGGGCTTGAGAAAGGACTTTTTTCTCTAGTTAGTTTGGAAGAATTTCAGGAAAAAGGGGAGATTCATGCCTCTGTTTTTATGGTCTAAAATGACAGTATCAATAGTAATTAACATTTATACTGCACTCTTAAATGTATACTTTTATTTTAATTTCCACAAAAACTTCCTGTTATTTGCTTCACTGTCTCTTTCCTGGATAAAGAAACTGAGATTTGAATAAGATAATCTCTTGCTAGATTCCTACAATGGAAAGTGACCAAGCCAGAACTCATCCTGGCTATTCTGACCACAAGCACCATGTTGGATGCTGTTCAGAAGCCTGGATTAAGAGCTATGGGACAACTGTCTTACAGAAATAGAGGCAGTGAACAAGCCTGGGGAGGAGACATGAAAATGAATTCGTGGGAAAACCTGAGCCTGAGAACAGTAACCTCAGACGTGAGTCCCGACAGCCAGAAGGGCCACGGAAGAGCCAGGTGTCAGCGAAGGCAGAGAGAGAGTCAGTGGTGTCCCTGAGGACTGGTGTGACCAAATCTGGAACACAATGGGCTTCTGTTTCTTTACCGGCTTTAAGACGTGGGCCTGAGATGCCCCCTGCCCCTGACCTCACGTTACGGTACGTCGCAGGGTCTGAAGTGATATAAAATACATCTTAGAAAGGGGAAATAGCCATTTTCTTATCTCAGTATTTTTTAGTGTTTGCAACTTGAGGAATTCCGATCTAAAGGTTTTAGTGCCCACTTAAATGTTAAAGGAATGGGAACAGATTTTTTGGTGTGGTCATTTATAAGCTATATCCATTTGTAAGTTATAGATACATATATACACATTTCTCTGAAAAATAACCCTCACTCTTTATCAAGCTATGGTCCCCCCACCGCTTGACAAATGTCACCCATTCTTCACGATTCGTTGTACATATCACCTTCTCAGCGGATGTGACCCCTACTGCCCTGGATAGAGCAGGAGAGGGGGCAGAGGGCAGGAGGGAGGGCTGCCCCCTCTAGCCTGCCTGACTGAGCCAACCCACCTGTCACCCAGTGGAGCTCTCTCTGGACACCCCAATGACCATCACTTCCCTGCTAGACTCTTAGCACCTGGAGAGTGAGTTCACACTCCTTTTTAGAGTCTCTGAGTGATTTCTACAGCCAGTTACCCAAATTCCTTGTGGAAGAGCAGACTATAGACGCAAACTAGCTCTCCCCGAGTGTGGAGTGTGCATCAGGCCCTGGGTTAGGAGCTATGCCTGTATTTCCTACTTAATCTTCATGCCGTAATAGGAAAGCATTTTTAGGCTGGAGTTTGCTTGTAATGTTCTCAAGGTCAAGGAGAGTTCGGATTTTAGTCCTGGGGAGCGTGACTCCTAACACCAGGTCCCTTACAGTCTATCATGTTGTTTTTAAAATAATGTGCTTCAGTGATGGTGGATGAACCAAGAAAATGTATGCTATCTCTTAGCACATGATAGCAATGATTCCTCACGCCAGCCCCAGGATGATGCTGACCTGTGTCGATCCAGCCACACCTTCTAGATCAGCCCTCTCTTGGGAGACAAAGCTCTATATGTAACCATAGGAAAGCAAAGGCGGTTTGCCCCTCAGGGGCGGCGCGTCCACCTGGCTGACAGCCCGAGCAGCTCCAGCAGCTTGTCTGGCTCCCAGGGGATGGGGCGATGTGTACATCTCTTCCCGGCTTCTCAGTGGCATCATGTGGGCAGCTTGAAATCTGCTGGGTGGGAGTATTTACACCACAGCAATCAGCAAACCTTGCAAATCAGGGTTGTTCTCCCCAGAAACCCAGTTGCTGAATATTTACAAGCACACCATTGGAGTAAACTAAGAAAAATGTGGTGGGCATTCAGGTGACCTTCTTCATGCATTGGACATAATAAAATAAAATACAAAGTAAAATAACCAGAGAGAAAGTATTTAACAACAGTTGATAAAGGAAAAAGGAAAATAATAAAACCACTCCAAAGTAAAATTCAGCTCTTTTTTAGCGGCAATAATATGCCCTCTTTGCTAAAGCACTTTCGAATGCTTTAACGTGGGGATTGATACTCCTGTCACAGGGCACCCAACCACCAGACTTGGACCCTTGGAACAGGGAGCACTGGGACGCCCAACATCGACAAAACAACATGAGCTCCGGACACGCAGGCTCAGCGGCCATGGCTCACGGGCCCAGCCGCTCCGCGGCATGTGGGATCTCCCCGGACCGGGGCACAAACCCGCGTCCCCTGCATCGGCAGGCGGACTCCCAACCACTGCGCCACCAGGGAAGCCCACCATGAGTGTTTTGAGCTACCACTTTAAGAGAAACTCAGTAAATGAAATTGCTTGGCCCCCTCAATTTCTCTCGCTGACTGTTGGCTCCTGAAAGCAGAAGCGTCCTCCGGTTCAACCTCCAGGCACTGGAGACCACTGGGCAGGGGCTGGTGCTCTGGGGCTGTGCCAATGCTGTGCTTAGCACCTCAAGCATGAAATCAAGAAAATCTTCTAGCGCAGGTCCAGGACGTTATTGGTCAACACTGCAGAAGAGTTCAGAGCTTCTCCATCTTTTCTAAGCACGCAGTCCACGCTTGGATGCCTCCGCCCCTATCTCTCCGCGCCACACACAAGTCTCCTGCCCCATTACAAGGCTGGTGTGGAGCCTAATCTTGCCCAAGGGGGAGCCCCAAATGTTGCAAGAGAGCTGATTTCTCACCCCACGTGTGGCCACACGCTGGCCCCTTATTCCCGGCTATTCACCATCTCTCGGGAATCGGAGGTCTATTTGCCCCGAAGCCCTTTTTTTTTTTTTTTTTTTTTTTTACTGCCTGGGTCTCTGCACTAGCCCAGGGAGGGAGAACACATTCGGGTAGGATTAAGTCCTATTCTGTTTCCAAGCTGGGAAAGAATGCGATTCGTCCTCCGATATTTGGGAAACAGAGCATCTCAGCAGAGCACATCAGGGCTCTCCAAACAGAAGCCTGCTTTTCTCGCATAAACAAATTATGCAAACTCTCTCTTCTTCCAGAATTAGCAATGCCACCATTAATTATGCAACTGACAACAATGGATTTGGAAATACAGGAAAGCATGTCATGAATGTTTCAACCACTGTGTTCTCAAGACTCCATCATCTTTAAGTACATCAGCCATCATCGTCAGGACCTCTTCCCCTCACGCAGAGGCCTCGGAGGTGGACTCGACCCACAGGACTTCGGCTGGTGGGTAGAGGGTTGAGCGCCCGGGAGTGGGAGCCACATGCTTACGTGCCTGGGTGCATTTGGCATTATTTATTGTCTGCATTTCTTTTCTTTTAGTAAAGGGATTAAAAATTGCTGGCAACGTGTCATCATTCCAACTCCTACTTTCTTTAACAAGCTTCACTTCCCTTTCTTGCTCTGACCTGCTCTCAGCATTCCTTCCTGCTGTTAGATATTACTTGAGATAACAAGATTTCAGGGTAACATTCTTACCTTGTGAATTTCCCACGAGATCCTGTGTCCTGAGTCAAAGGCCATCTTTGCCTTGTGATCAGTAGAAACTGGCTGAAGACTTCTTCCCCGTTTCTACTCAGTGAGTCCAATGGGCCTCCCACCCTCCGCCCTGTGCTCTGGTCACTGAGGCTGGAGGTGGACGCTTGGGGCCTGGGGTGCAGGGAGGGTGAGACCTGGCTCACCGCCCTTCTGAGATGAGAGTGGCTGACGCCCAAAGGGCTCAGTCCTTAACAAAGGGGCAAGGCTTCCCCCGCATGGACTGCGGGGATGCACACGTGTACCTATGAAGCACTGAGGTCACCGCAGACACCTCACGGGGGTGATGACCCACGGGTTTCATGTGCCTCAGTGCAAACCTGGAAGCAGCTTGGAAGAGGAGATATTCCCTCTGGCACGTCTGGTTTAGGATTAGTGTTTATGGGATGACTAACCACTCTCCTCCTAAGAAGGAAAATCACAGTGATGCCCCAGGAGCTCCAGGCCTCCAAAGGGGACCAGCAGGGTCGCCAATGTTCTCAACGAGTCGCATCACAGGTGTGCAGCGAGCATCCCGGACAGGCTGGTTTCTTCTACAAAACCTTTCCTGACCGTCACCACTGCTTTCACAGAATACCATGCAAAATAACTACAATTCTAAACACAATATGGTAATTCTGGATTAGATCTTGGAACCAAAGGACATTGTGGAAAAGCTGGTGAAGTGAGAAGGAACTCTGGAGTTCTGCTAGCAGTAACGCGTCGAGGTCGACTCCTTGCTGTGACGACGTGAAGCGGCTGTGTGTACACTTGGGGAGCGGAACACAGGATGCTGTGTGCTCTCTTTGAAACTTCTCTGTGCATCTAAAATTATTCCCAAACAAAAAGGTTCCTTAAAAAAAACAAAAGGCAACCTGAAAAGCAAGTGAATGAGTTCATGGTTTATTTCAGTAAGTGATCACCAAGTCAAGTGGCATCTTCCCTAAAGATATGGCTGTGTGACAGCTACCAGCTTTGCTAAGCTTTCTTTGAATTTCCTCAATACAATTAATTATAATATAGAGCATCTTTTAAATGAATGAATGCATAAAACCAACTACCTGGATAATTGCCTACTTGAACACAGGAACATAATCACCACCATATATTAACTGAAAATGCAATGTTAAAATGCACACACAAACAAGGGAAAATCCAACAGGTAAATAAGCAGGAAACGGTGCCCGGGAATTTGCTTCGTGTGTCGATCCGGATTCAAGGAAGTTACAGTGTCGAGGACACGTCCTTGTGAATTGTCGAGGACAATCCTTCTTAAAAACCCATTTGGAAGGATGACCCAAGGACAGGCAAGGGGTCTCGACGCTCCAGGTCAGCAGACGGGAAGCAGCTGACCAGAGGGGGCCAGGTGTACACAGGACGTAGCGGGGAAGAGGGGTCCCGATGCAGTGGGGGAGGGCAGCTCCAGAAAGGAAGCTGGAAACGGGTCCATTGCTCTCTCTAGCCGGCCAAGGAGAGCTGGCCTCTGCACTACACAGTGGAGGACCCGGGGAGGTGAGGCTCACCTGCTGACCCCTGCCGACTCTTCCTGACCTGCTGGATACACACAGACGACTGTGAATGAAGGTCCCCCAGCCTGAGTTCAGGTAGCAAAGGAGAATTCTGACCGTCCTTCTCAACAGGGAAGGGATGGAAAGACACGCCACCAGTACCGTCTCCCAAAGGCAGAGATGAGGAAATCAGTGAGTGTGCCGGGGGCTGGCTGGAGCCCCAACAGTGACAAAGTGCTACAAGCCTAACACAGGGCTCAGGACGGAGAATCAAAACACGTTTCTGGAAAAGAACACTATAGGAATAAGCAGTAAATTTTAGACAGCATCGACTCTTGCTTACAAAGTTTAAGAAAACAAAGTGGGAACCAGCCCCCCTAGAGCTCCCTTTCAGAGCAGGGCCACACTGAGGCCCCATGTTCAGGACAATAGAGACAGAGGAAAAATAAGGTCAGAGGAAAAGTTGAAGGGCCGGGGAACAGTCAGAAAATCTTAGGCCGCCACGTGTCTGTTTGTTTGTTTTATCCATAAGAAAACAAGAGAAGGACCCCTGTGAAGCTAGAAACGCTGTACTGAGCAGGCCTCCTTCTAAAAGTCTAGAAAAATCAGTTTTACATAAGAAATGAGCAACAGAAGAGGATCAAAATCTAACCCTGGGCTTCCCCGGTGGCGCAGTGGTTGGGAGTCCACCTGCCGATGCAGGGGACACGGGTTCGTGCCCCGGTCCGGGAAGATCCCACATGCCGCGGAGCGGCTGGGCCCGTGAGCCATGGCCGCTGAGCCTGCGCGTCCGGAGCCTGTGCTCCGCAACGGGAGAGGCCACAGCAGTGAGAGGCCCACGCATCACACACACACACACACACACACACACAAAATCGAACCCTATGCCAAGTCATTATATGAAGAAAAAAGAATAAAGAGCAGAACAGTATCCCTGCAGATAACGAAAACATGCAGAAAGATGTGCACAAAAACACATCAAAATCATAAGCTACCGACTTCAAAGCAAGCTGACTGCAACAGATAAACAACATCAACCTTGAGGACAAGATCATTCAAAATTAGAGAAACTCAGAAAGGAGTACCTAGTACCTAAGATATAATTAGAAATAAGAGGAAAACCTCCCTTCAGAAATGAGGACTAGGGTAGAACAAAACAATAAAGAAGAAACACAAGGATGAATAAGCAAAATAGGTAACGGCTTAAGCAAATGAGAACATCTTAATAATACAAACGCATGAAGAAAGAGATCGAAAGAATTCACAAGAACATGACGAATATGGGCGATAGGCAAGCGAAACCCAGCATGTGGGCGGCAGGGGTGGAAAGCCAGGGGGGCGGGGGGAGGGGTCCAGTTATCAGATGAACGGGTCCTGGGAGAAAACTACAGCACAGTGACCATAGTAACAACACCCTACCCTGCATCTGACAGTTACTAAAAGGGGAGATTTTAAAAGCTCCCCCCTCCACACAGACTGTGCGAGGTGGTGGGTGTGTTAACCCATTGTGGTAATCATTACACAACACACACAAGCCTCAAATCATCCCGTTGTACACCTTAAACTTAATGTTATATGTGAATTATATCTCAGTAGAGCTGGGGAGGGGGAACCAAATGGAAAGAGCAGAATAAATACTAACAACTAACAAGAGCAGAAGAAAGACTTCCGAGGGGCTTCCCCGGCGGCCCAGTGGTTAAGACTGGCGCTTCCACTGCAGGGGACGCGAGTTCCATCCCTAGTCGGGGAACTAAGATCCCGCGTGCTGGCGGGGCAGCCAAAAAAAAACCATTTCCCGAAATTACTTTTTAAAAGACTGCAGATACCACGTTGAAAGCAGCCCGGTTGGCTGTTGGCTTCCGCAGACCCGGTGCTGAGGGCCACGTGCTGCCCGGGGCTCCCCGCTCGGCCCCTCCCTTCCGGCTGGACCAGGACCGGCCCACCTGCCGTCCCTCCCTACGCTACTGCGACCTCGCACGTGTCCGGCAGCGGGACAGTCCCCACGCCGCCCGCCGGCTCCACGAGGACAGCCTGCAGGGCCCCAATTCAGGAGCGGGTCATAGACGCGGCCGTCACCCAAGGTCTGGGCGTCCTGAGGGGACACAGCTGGGAAGGCCCTGCCAGCCTGCAAGCGCCGGGACTGAGGGACCAGGACCCGGAGCTGCCCCGCTGGACCATCGGGACCACCGCACAGCGGAGGAGGGGAGGGGAGAGGAGGCGACGGGCTGCCCCACCTTGCCGCCCGCCCCCGCCCCCGCCCCCGAGGGAGCCCGGGAGGCCTCTGCTCTGCGCGGCAGGCGGTGGGGAGGGTCCGCAGGTCCGCCAGCCCCGCTCCTGCTGGGGCTGCTCCGGTCCCCAAAGCCCCCTCCCCCTGTGACGCCGGCCTCGCCGGTCCCCACCCTCCCGTGCGCCCCGGGCTCCCGTCCCTGCTGGAACGAGACCCCCAAGTCGGAAGTCAGGGGGTCCCCGGTTCCAAGGGCAACAGCGCCACCGCTGGGCGGGTGCAGAGAACGCACAGGGCGGTGTGGGGGGTGCGGGGGCGGGGGGGGGGGAGTCAGCCGAGGGGGAAGGGACGGGGCGGGCCGCGGGCGGAGCCGGGGACACGGGGTCGCCTAACCCTAACATCTTAAAGGAAGTCACAGGTGCGCGGAGAAGGGAAGGGTCCAGGGCAGGCCTGGCTTTGGGCGGGGGTTCAGCCCGGCTGGGTGCAGCCCCTCTGCTCCCCGCCCCATATAAACGGTTCCCTTAGAAGGAGACCTCTGGCTCCGGGCACAGCATGCCGGTCAGCCCCTGGCCCTGGGCACACCTCCCCGGGGGCTCTCCCTCCTCAGTGGGGCTGAGGGGCGCCAATGCTGACGCCACACACGCGGCGCTCCGGGGCTGCCAAATCGAGAGAAGCCTGTGCCCCCTCCTCGGGGCATCCGAGGAGCCTGAGTCTCCCAGTCGCCACGGCCCGCGGTGCTGATGAGGTGCCTCTCCCTCCACCTGCGCCCTGTCTGCCCAGGACTTCCGCGTTTTAGGACTGAAGTCCCAGAATGCCCCTCGCACAGGGACCCCCGGGCACCCCTCCTTACACCCCACACCCCACACCCCCAGCACGGTGTTTGGCAAGAACAGGGACCCTTTCTACCCAGAGAGGCTGTCCCCCGAAGGCGTGAGGACACGTGTGCGTCATGCTCCAGCAGGCCTGAAGCCGACACACCAGTCCAGGGACCTCAGGACGTGGCTGGAGCATCTTCCCTGGAAGAGGCCAGGGCGAGCGTCTCTTGCCAGCGTCCAGTCCTGGCGTCCAGTACCCAAGCGCGCTGGCTGGACTGCT